TTCAGATTAACGGAGAGGCAGTGGAGCAGGTGGAGAAGTTCAAGTACCTCGGAACTGTATTTACTAATGACGGAAAATTGGAGGAAGAGATCGACCAGCGAATTGGAGTAGCAAGCGTGAACTAGCCCGATCGATTGTGACTAATGCACAGCTCAGTCTGAAAACTAAGCTCTCGGTGTTCAAGTCGATCTTTATCCCCATGCTTATTTACGGTCGTAAGTCGTGAACCATCACTGAAAAACTTGGAACCCGGGTACAAGCTGCTGAAATGGGCTTTCTTAAAGGAGTCGCTGGCCTTACGCGTCGTGACATGGTCCGGAATACTGACAACCGAGAGAACCTTGGTGTAAAGCCTTTGCTTTTCGAGATTGAGAAGTCACAGCTACGATGGTTTGACCATGTGTTGCGAGTGCCCCCAGAAAGGAAAGCTAAGCAAAACCAAGTGACTGTTCTTGCGAAACAGACTGACAGAAGGCGCAGAAAACGGCCTAGATTGTCCTGGTGCAAATATATGGAGAGCGTCTGTTTCAGGCTCCAGTTGTCTTCTGCTGAAGCTCAGTCTCGGGCACAGGATCGGAAACGTTGGAAGCTGTCTCTGAGGGTTCTGCTTCTATATATAATCGGTCTTACACTCTTTGATCATCGCATTGTAGGATTTCAAGCAAAGCAGATGATATGCGGAAAGATTCTGGCATTATTTTACAGGCAACGAACGCGTCAAAATGGAACAGATGATTGTCTTTTGAAAATTTTGCCTTGACTGAAGACATAATAATGACCGCTATCACAATGTCGAAGAACTTGAGCCGGAGACCAGAATGGTTTGGAACCAATATAGTATTCCTTGATATAGACGAGTTGATCGTTCTGGAACTGACGCGAAAACGCTTTGTGATGATTACTGAATTGTCACTCCATTTTCTGGTTGCATGAGCCTGATACGGTTGACCTGGGATGTAGTAGGCTGAGATTGATGCGGAGTGCACGATCAAACAACATTCCAGATGGGGTGCGATCACAAATTGCAGAATTTGGGGTAAAGCGGTAAGCAAGCAAGAAGGACTGGAGTTTTTCGGCAAAATGTCCATCACCCTTTTGGATAGCACGCTTGAATGTATCCACGAAACGTTCTGCTTGGTCGTTGGACTGGAGATGGGACAGGGGTATCTGATGTGCTTGATACCATTAGACATGCAAAAGTCCTGGAATTCAGTGGAAGTAAACTGGATGCCATTGTAGGAGAAGACAATTTCGGGCATTCTGAAACGAGCGAAAACTTCATTGACGAGACGAACAGTTATTGGTGCCGTCGATTTGTCGCTAATGAGGACTTCAAGCCATTCGAAAATGAGTCAACAACGACTAAGTGATGACCAACGAGAGGTCCAGCGCAATCAATAAGAATAAGGATGCTCAGCTTGAGGCCAGGAAAATAGTTCAGTTTTGTGAGATTTGGCTGCTGACTGACAGGCTGACACTGACGACATTTCTGATCTAGGTTTTCAATATCGGCATCAGTTCCAGGCGAATAGGTGTGGGCGAGGTCTTTTATTCGGCTAACAATGGGATGAGCATGGTGCAGCTGTCGAAGGACGGAGGCTTGAAGCGGAGCCGGAATAACCACTCTTTCTCCATACATTAAACAACCATCAATTAGGGACAGCGAATCCTTGCGGTCGAAAAATTGTTTGAGACGAGGGTGATTAATGGTCTTAGGCCATTTCGACTGAAGCGATTTGATGACTCGCTGAAAAAGAGGATCAGCCTTAGTCTGTTGGCGAATTTTGTCTGCTGTGACAGGGAGCATTCCGGTAGCATCCCCGAGAGAACTTGCTGGACTTCCGCTTCAATCGCTTCGATTGTGGCCATGACAGCCTCTTCATCAGACGATTCCTCAGCTCGCGTTGAGATGAGGCAAGACAAAGCGTCGGCTTCTGCTGTCGAGATAGCGGCATAGGGGACGGGACGTTTGGGACGAAAAACTGGTTCAAAGTCCGGTTGTAATCGCAAAGAAGCTTTGAAACGCTTGCAACAACCAAGCTCGTTGCTGCAAATGCTAGGGAAGCGAGAGCGGACGAACTGTTCCGCATTTGAAGCATTCAGGAAGTTGACGGACCGCGACCTGCTTGCTGCATGTTCATCCTGAAGCTTGCTGAACGGCTGGTCAAAGAAACCTAGTTTCTCGGTCCACTCAGCTCCAAGGGGATTACTGTTGCCGACGTCGTACATGTAATATATTCCGGACAAGGGATTCGAATTGAAACGATAGGTACATTTGAATTTACCTTGCAGCCGCTGATGCTAACTGCTGAAATTGCTGTGGCTTGGGTGAGCCTTGGAGAAGCAATCATCTTCCAGGTTGAAGAAGATATAATTGTAAGGTCTGAACCCGTGTCAACCAGCAGTTTAAGACGGCTGTTGATGAAAAGGGGCAGGTAACGGCGAAAGCGTTTGAAATCAGCAGAGGCAAGAACATAAACTCCATTAAGCCTGGGTTTTCTGGGCCATTTAGACTTCTTTACATCTGCGGGCCTTCTGTGTCCCGCTGAAGATGAAAAACAGCTGGAATAGAATCCCTCCTTGTGGTCTGCTCTGTTGCATTGTAAGCACCGTGTTCCTTGTAGAGACAATCACGCACAAAACGCATAGCTCCATACAACCAGCAAAGAATTTTGTTTTCGCGTGGACCTGTTTGTTGGTTAAGCTGATACCTAACGACACCGGTAATATTGGATATGCGCTGAGACCTCGTGACGGCGGCTATAATAACAGGATCGATAGCGTTGGTAGATTCCACTTATTCAGTGTCATGTTTCAGATTAAGCAAGCGGTTGCATTCGACCACCAATTTGGCAATGGTGACATCGTCCTCCTCAGTTTTGTTGAGTATCGGAAACGAAAAACGGTGTTCTCTGAACACTGTAGGCCGCAAACGAACATAAGGCACTTGAAAGGGTCTTTCATTAACGAAACCAGCTAAAACCGTTGGCAGTCCCGGTTAACTCTTCCTCCGCAAGAGATGAAATC